GGGGGGGGGGGGGGGGGGGGGGGGCGGGGAGGAATCTCCGAGGTCCGGATATGGAAATGGATCAAGGTTAGGCGGAGAAAGAGGAAACAGAGAAGGATTTATAACAATGGTGGAAGGGGAAGATGATTTGGGGAAGAAGACGAAGAACAGAGAGGAAAGAGAGAGGAAGGAGAGAGAGAGTGGAAAAAAATTGACTGAGATGTGAGAGAGAGAGAGAGAGAGAAAAATGATTTGGAATTTGTAACAGAAGCCGCCTTATAACAAATCCTGTCACCACTTTTCAAAATGTGCCTTTATTATTATTTTTTTTTTTAATTTTTAAAAAAATATATTTTTAGCTAAATTATAGAAAATAAAATCATTTTTAAAAAAAATTAAAAAATTAAAAATTTTATTTTAAGTTTTGCTGGAAAAATATTAAAATTAAAACATAATTTTCCCCCCTTAAAATCATATTAACATTCGAGGTCAAACTTTCAAATTCTCAGGTTGTTGACCTAAAAAATACGTCTTGTATCAATCAATCTTTTCATTAATTAAGTGGGTAACTAAATTAAACCCGTCTTCTTCAAGTTTACTAGAATTTAAGCTCCGAGACTCTACTTTGGCTCTTCCATTGGTTCCTCCGAATCAATAGGCTCATTTTTCTCGTATCACACACACACATCATTGAGAGAGGTATTTAAGTACATAGATGAGGTGGTTTGTAATGACCCAGATCCACCGCTAGCAAATATTGTCCTCTTTGGGCTTTCCCTTTCCGGCTTCTTCTCAAGGCTTTAAAACGCGTCATTGGTTGGGGAGGAGAACAAATCACCCTTTATAAGGGTGTGGAAACCTTCCCCTAGTAGATACGTTTTAAAGCCTTGAGAGAAAGCCCAAAAGAGAAAGTCCAAAGAGAACAATATCTACTAGCGGTGGATTTGGGTCGTTACATGGTTTCAAGAATGAAAGTCGATACTCGGTAGATCACGAACTACAAAAATTTTCTTCCACCTAGATCTTTCTGCAAGCATTTTTGTTTAGAGTTGATAGGAATAACTCGTGATCCTGTTCATTTAAGGAATACAAAGAAAGTATGTGTCCACTTAGTCTGACTAAACACATATGAACTCAACCGACGATCGCTCTTATTAATGACTGTAACAGCTTTTACCAGATACATTAAACGAGCTTTTGATTTGAAATATTCCCATTTTGTAGGAAAAGATTTTATTTTCCAAATCAAATTGATTTATGCAAATATGAAAGCATGAATTAATATTTTATTTGATGATGATGAGAGTAGTTGTAAAGTGAAAAGACAAAGCTCCAAACTCATAGCCTACTTTTAACTGCATGCCACCACCACATCTTCATTTTTTCTTACTTTGGGACCTTCATCTTTAACTTTTTTGTATCATTCTTTCCATACATTTTTACCTTTTGGCTCACACAAAACAAACCTTCTTTTCTTCTTAAAGTTTGTTTTTTTATTAGCATAGGGGTCCCATCGCGAAATGTGGTAAACTTTTGTGCTGATTTAAGAATTCGAGTTGGTTAAGTTAGTGACCTGAACAACCCGAGAGAGTTTACAACCCTACCTAACCTTTGGGTTTGATTGGGTTGTCGAGTTATTCTTTTTTTAATTACTTAAAAAAAATCTTATTTATGACTGAATCTCATAAAGCTCAAATACCAAACATTCACAATTTACAAAGCATCACTATCATCAATTACAAACGTCAAATATGTTGATTGGGTTATTGTGAGAATCTCACATTGGTTAGGGAAGAGAACGGAATACCCTTTATTAAGGGTGTGAAAACCTTTCCCTAGGAGACGTTTTAAAGCCTTGAGGAGAACCCGAAAAGTCCAGAGAAGACAATATCGGCCAGTAGTGGACTTGTAACGCCCCGTTGGGTTTAGTTATATATATATGTGTGTGTGTTAAAATAAAAATAACAAAATAAAGAAAAAGAAAAAAAAAACTGACTACCTCCTCTAATCTCTCCGTCCATCCCCTAAAATACCTCCCTCAGTATCAATAACTCAGCCAAAAAAAACAAAAATAGAAAGAAAATATTTTTTTTTGGAGGAAACCAGAAGGCAGATAATGGAGAGATGGTAGACGAGAGATGTCATTTCAAAAGGTTAGTAGTCAGATTTATTTTTTTTTTTTTTTTCTCTTTCCTTCTGCAAAGGATATTAGCAATTATTTAGATCTGAGTTAGAAATTTAGAAATTATCTGTTGCAATGATCTGAATTAGAAATTATATGTCCTAGCGAGGGTCCATGAAAATTGATAAAAAAAAAAAAGGAATGGATAGATAAGGAGGAGAGAAAGATAGGAAAAAGAAAGATCTGGATACATATTCAAATAAAAATAAAATCTAGCAATAGAATTAAAATATGAGACAGAGAAGAAAAGAGTAGAGAGAAAGATTGGAAGACAGATCAAATAAAAATAAAAAATACCAAATTTGGAAAACGTAATCAAAAGAGATTTTCACCCTAAAGAGAGGAGATTAGATTTGGAAACGGTAAAGTTAAAGAAAATCTGGTGAGTAGAATTAAACCCATTGTAATAAACTGCATAAAAGAATGAAACTAATTAAAAGAAGTAAATTTAAATTGCTTAAAATAATTAGATATGGAAGTAGAATTGAAAGACTAAACAGAATTAGAGTCGAAAGAAACAAGAAAAAAAATAAAGAGAGAGGATTTTAGGAAAGAAAAGAAAGTTAGAACAGTTTGAAATGGCAAGTACGGTTCATATGACAATGACAAAATTAAAAGGCTAAACAGAATTAGAGTTAAAAGAAAGAAGAAAAAAAAAACAAAAACAAAAAAAACAACAGGATTTTAGGAAAGAAAAGAAAGTTAGAACTGTTTGAAAATGGTAAGTACCGTAAATAGAATTAAAATATGACATAGAAGAGAAATAAGTGATAGAAGAAGATATGAGAAATTGTTGTATTTGTATCTATAGGATATAACATTAAATGTTGAATTATCCAAGCCACTTGAAATATTAATAATATTGACATATTATTAATTTAAGTTTTAAGTTTTATTATCCTATATAATTTAGAAACAATGAAAACATGGAATTCGATTTTTATTGAGATCGTTTAGAGCAGTTTTTCACACGGTTAGTTGGATTATTAATTAAAATGTGAAATACTAACAAAATGTGACGAACGATGCGATAGGAAGCAAACCTTGGCAACATTTGGTGTAGTTCTCGAGGAACGGGAGCTTACGTAAATAAATTAGGGAATTCTTCGGCTAAGGCCAACCAGGTAAGTGGCCTTACTATAGAATAGGCTAAATAATTCTATGATTTATGATGATGTGTGGATTATGATGCTTGATGATATGCGCGGTATATACATATTTTGTTGAGTGACGCTTGATATGTTTGACGCACGTTGTGGCATTATGATGAGCATGATGATTGCATGATTTTTACCTTAATATGATGATGTTTTCCATATTGAGCATGCTAGATGATGATGAGTACCATATTGCATCATGTCGTTAGATCGACGTAGGACACAACCCTAAGAGCATGAAAATGATATTAATATAAATATCCACGAGTATGCGTTACCTAGAGTAACAAAGAGATGAGACTAGAGGGTTGTGTCAGAAGAGACATTACGATGGATTTAGAGGGACCTCATGCATTTTGTATGTTCATAAGCATAGGGCTACTTCCCCTAGAGATGATGAGTGCGGACGCGCACCTTATGATGAGCGCGAAAGCACACAGATGAGGGTGTTCATGAGGCGCATGACACTATGGGGTTCCGCTGACCTCCGGACGTCGCTACAGATTAGCTTGACCAGAGGGTCCAGGGGGTGTGCGAGCGCCCTGGGGACTCACACTCGCACGTGTGAGTCGTGTGTAGGGAAGTACTACACATCCAATTTTTCCGAGACTGGAGGGCACCCCTAAGGTGATTAGAGATAGGTCCCTAAATCATGATTGCATGTGTTTGCATTTGCATGGCCTCCTATAGTGGGGCCACTTACTGAGTATTCTTTGAAATACTCAGGTCGTGTGCCACATCTTTTTTTCAGGTAAAGGCAAGACGCACTTGTACGGAGGACGGCGGCATCGCGAGCAGAGACTGTGTCATGTGCATAGGGTAGACTCATATTTAAATTTCTAGTCTTAAGTTAGAATAGGTTGTTTTGCATTTCATTGTTTTAAATTATTTTGTATTTGTTTTTGTTTTCTCTAAATTTCAATATTTCATATTTAAACACGTAAGACCATGGCTGTGTTTTCCAGAGAAGAAGTTGTTTTAAACGTTTGTTTTTTTTAAGTTTACGTCATCAATTAGGTTCATGTAAGAGTTATATTTCCGCATTATAGATGAGCATGAGACGTTTGTAGCGACTCTGAGTATCTGGAAATTTTAGGGTCGTTACAGGACTTGGTTTGAGTTATAACTCTATTTTCAGGTTGATCGAGTTGACCCAACCCAAAAATTCAAAAGTTAATTTGATTTTTGGATCATATAAGCATCCATGCACGATGAAATCGAGGTGCAATGATGAAAAAAAGACTGAGGATTGGAAACCATGCCACAAAAATGTGATGCATATATTTTGAAACAAAAGTACAAACAAACAAAAAGAAAAAAGTTAAAAGGTTTTTTAGCTTCAAAATTGAATATCATCTCAATTTATTCTTTGTACTATCACTACTTTTTCTTTTCTTTTTTCTTTTCACACTCTCAGGTTCGATCCAAATTGTCTATCAACTTTTCTCTTGCGTCGATTTTATTATATTCTCAAACTTTACGCGTGACATTTAACGTTAAAAAGATAAAGAACGACGAGTAATAAACTTCTTACAAATAAACAAATAAATTTGTAACATACGTATTACAATGGATGGATACTACTGCTACGTACCAACCATGCAGCCAAGGATCATAATTCTCGAACAACCAATCAAAATGTTGGGATGGAGTTGTATGAAGCGAGAGTGTCACATACCGTTCCTTTGAGATAGGTGTGATATTACAACGAGCGAGCCATAAAATTGCATTCCTATTCATCTAGTTCGTGCAACTTGCTTTTAAAGCTTTACAACTAAGAGAATAAACTTAATTTGAGAGATAGTGACATAAAGGTGGGATAAAAACCTAGGTCTCTCAATATACTAAGTTGATAAGGAAGCATGGGTAAATATTGTAAACTTCAAAAAATTGTTTAAATATTTTTTACAAAAATGTGGGTCTAATTTGTAACTATGAAGTATGTATGTAACGACCAGATCTACCGCTAGCAGATATTGTCTTCTTTGGGCTTTCTCTATCGGGCTTCCCCTCAAGGGGCGTCTGCTAGGAGAAGGTTTCCACACCCTTATAAACAGTGTTTTGTTCACCTTTCCAAACAAATGTGGGACATCACAATCCACCCCCTTTAGGGCCCAGCGTCCTTGTTGGCACTCGTTCCTTTCTCCAATCAATGTGAGACTGTCACCAAATCCACCCCCCTTTGGGGCCCAACGTCCTTACTGGCACACCTCGTGTCTACCCTTCTTTAGGGAACAGCGAGAAGGCTGGCAACATCGTCCGGTTTCTGGCTCTGATACCATTTGTAACGACCCAAATCCACCGCTAGAAGATATTGTTCTCTTTGGGCTTTCCCTTTCGAGCTTCCTCTCAAGGCTTTAAAACGAGTCTACTAGGAGAAGGTTTCCACACCCTTATAGAAGATGTTTTGTTCTCTTCCCCAACCAATGTGGGACATCACAATGTAGTTCAATCCTGAACCGGAGCTCTATAATTATTAGACTAAGTAATAATAATAATTTTGAGTTCACACTTATAAAGATTTGTAATTATATATATATATATATATATATATATATATATATATATATCATA